GATTGCTCGACCCGCCGTCCTGGTTCGACAATGAGGACGATGTCGATGCGCAGGTCGAGCTACAGGCAAAGAAGGATGTGCAGGTGACGGATGCAGACTCTTCTAGTTCCTCTGATATCTCACGCGCCCCAGGCGCTCCGAAAAATACTGTCGTGGATAGGAAGACATGGGCAGCGCCAGTATGCTGGGATGCGCCTGAGGAGTGTCGTAAGCAGGGTCCGCACCAGCCACCCATTGTGCATGCAGATGCGCTTTGATGCGACCTGAAGGATGGCTCTCCAGATTCAACCTCATCGAATTCACTGTCGTTTCCAATACTTGCAAGGCGCGTTATCCCAGAGAGACTTTTTGGTCGTGTCGTTGCTCGTGATGAAATTGCGCAAGCTGTGTCCATTTCCAGAATGTTCATGCCGTCAATGTAAACCGAACCTCACGCACCAGGCGAAGAACGCTGGCACACGATAAATAAGTCACTGTTTCCAGCCCTGCAAGAGGTGCTCACAAGCGAGACGCCAGGCAGAGGTGTATTCGCGGGTTGTTCTTCAGCTGGTGGCGACAAGATGGTCGCACGTGTTTGCGCGTCGCGTGTTTACGGGTAGGCACGTGGCGGCATTAGCGGGTCGCGGGAACGGGAACCCGGACATTGCCCGCCGCCAGTGCAACCAACGCTGGACACCATACCACCATACCTGAATACGACCCCATGCGTCGCTCATACCCTTCGCTCGCGGTTTGACGATGTAGGGATAATATGAGAGCCTTGCCTACCTCCCCGAATCGCGCATTGGGCACCCACTGACCCTCAAGGCGACTCGCGAACGAGCACAACGTCACATTCTCACCACCATGGCTGGAACGATCACACACGAGGATTGGATTGCAGGAGAAACTGCCAGAGATACCCGATGAGTCCCAAGCATATCCAATTTACTTAGGCTACAATCCCACGAATGGTCGAGGTACTTTTGCACACCCCCTTACACAGGTGCCGCTGCCCCAGACGCTACACCCCCATTCCTCACCTGCCACGACGAAGGCAACTTCTAATGGCGACCGGGCTGTGTCTACTACTGGTTCTACTACTGTATGTGGTACCATCATCTCTAGAATTCATCAAGCTGACCTATTACTACAGAAGGCCGTCCCCACATGGGAACCATCGTCGCATGCGCCGTTTCATCGTCAGAGTCCCGACACTACTTATGTAGTCGCAACCCGCATACATAACGCTACCGACGTCACCCGAGCATTATGTCGAATGCACGTTCGCATCAAGCCCAGAATCCGCCTGCGTTGAGGCCTTCGATCGTGCCTCTGAACCCAACGACCTCCCCAGCGTCTATGCTCAGCTCCTCTGGGCTCACAAACTCCTCGGTGACCTCCCAAGGATCGCAAGCCTCGCCATACTTGAACTGGAGCGCCAGTTCATTGCCCACATCGCCGTACAGCTTGGTCGCTGTGTCCATACTGAGCTCAGCAAAGACACAGCTCTTGCCAGTGACTTCCGACCATACATCGACCATCTCCTGGTATGTCATCTTCTCGAGCGCGACATTCGCGTATCTACCATAAGCCTTGCCGCCAGTGGCAAGGACTTGGCGGACCCAGATGCCGGGGTTGACTGTCATATCGCCGGCTACAAGGACTTTCGCGTCGGGCTTCGTGGGCATCGCTTGGATGTATTTACCGGTGCCGGGCTGGATTGAATGTCAGTTAAATGCGCCCATATGAAGGGGAACCAGTCAGACTCACGTATTCGAACGGCTTGCAGAGTGGGAAGAAAGCCATGTTCTGCGGATAGTACCCGAAGTACAGGTAAGTCGTAATGGCAGCAAGTTGCGGCAACTCGGCCTTGATGCGCGCGTCCACGTTCGCCTTGTAATCCATGTGCGGCGCTTCCATCTTGCCCCAGAACCGACGCTTCGCGCTTGGACAAGTTGACCAAATGTAGTGTTCGACTGACCGTGTGGCCGCGGCAGCCCGAGCGAGGTTCATGCCATGTCGCTCTTCGATCTCGCCACACTCGTGCTGGCTTTTGCCCCGGAAGAGCGCTTCCCACCAATTCGTGACCGCAAAGACGGCATTTGCGCCATCGAAGGCGGCTCGCAACGATGCCTCGTCTTCAAAATCGGCTTTCACAACCTCAATTCCCTCCGCTGCCAGCTTCTTCGCCGCATCGCTGTCCGGATCTCGGGTGATCGCCCTGACTGACCAGCCTGGCGTTTTCTTCATGATGTTGACTACTCCGCCACCTTGGCTTCCTGTCGCGCCTGTCACGGCGATGATCTTGTTGCCCCGGTTTGGCCAGTCGTGGATCGTACCGGGCAAGCCGCTCTTCTCTCCGTGCACCATAGCGAACCATGGCTCGAAGACAGCCTCACTACGCTTCGAGAAAGCTCCATTCTTGTAACCCGGATGTCCCCATTCTACCAGTCTGTCGTGCGCTATCTCGACAACTTGCCCTGTCTTCATGTTCCTCTCGTCATCCAGAAACAGATCGTAACCGGCGAAGAGAGTCGACTGCAGCATCATGTGCTCGGGGTGAAAGGCTTTGCTGAAGCCAGGCATGACTGGAGTTTCGATCGGGCCAAGCATCAGACAGTTGATAGAGATGTTGTCTTTGGCTAGCAGAACAGGTCCGGTTGTCTTCGTCCACATTGCTGTCGCTGCTTCAGCCGAGCAGTACTCCGGAAAGCTGTTGCATGGATATATGCCAAGCATGCTTCCTGTGATAATGATCTTGCCGCCTTTGCCTCTTGGGTTGTGGCGCATGTAGTGCGTTGCCAGCGTTGTACCGTACATTCTTCCTTTGACCACGACGTCTGTACAGCTAGTGTCTGGTTCTGGAGGCAATTCGTCGATGGGCGCATCGCGGCGGTTGAGGTTGAACACGGATCCACGATCAGGGAAGCCCGCATTCGCGATCAGAACGTCCAGGCGGCCCCATTTGTTCCATGTGGTCTGGAATAGGTTGGTTTGCGAGGCGTATGAGCTGACGTCGCATTGGACAAAGATGACCGAATCTCCTGTTGCGTCAATTGATGAGGCAATTTCTTTGCCTTCGCTTTCACGTCGACCACAGATTGCGACACGGTAGCCTCTCGCCTGTAACCGGGCTGCTAGCCAGGAACCAATCCCACTCTGTTGGAATCTGTCAGCAAGCTCAGATTAACTGCGGAATGCGATGTGACGAACCGTGCCACCGGTGATGATGGCGACTTTGCGCTCATCCTGCGAAATGGAACCCATGGTGTCGATTATCAGTATCGGGTGATGGTCTTTGGCAGGTTTGGGAACAATGATGCATTATATCCAACAGGGAGCGGCACGCACACGATTTTGCCTATATGCATGCGCGACACCTTCCATCCGCGTTCAGTACTGGGGCACGATGCTCTCCACTTCGCGCCCATAGTAGCTACTCCTATGCTCAAAGAAGGAGTACTTGCTTGTTCCTATTATTTCTCCGAGCCGTTTTACGGAGGATTCGGTAGCTGCAGGAGTTGGCGCGACTAACGCTTCCATTGCCGTTCGACCTAGACATTACAAGGTTTGCGGGAGTTGACATCCACAGGATCCATACCTGAGTACAACTCCTCCCTCAGGGTCCAGGTGAGCGATGTTTTTCCATCTTGCAAAGACGACACTCCATTCGTTTTACGATGCCTACGTTACTCCAAGCTCGCTGAATACCACCTGTTCGACCTTCGCGAAACCGTGCCGCAGGCTACAAACAGCCGACGATGCGTGTCGCCCGCATCCGCGCTGGCTTGGCAATGCGGCGCGGTTCCCAACCAGCTACCGAACAGGAAGTGGGGGCACGCTAAGTGTGGGGCCTAGAGCGATTCCGATGTGACTTCACATAGCTATGTACAGGGAATACGATCCTTCGCACACAAGAGGATCGTGCCGCCAATGCTTTCCCGTCACAACGCTCATGGAGGGGCAGTTTCCTGCGCTATTCACAATCTCTTGTTGCGCTGTTCGCCAAACACATATCATCCAACATTGGGCAAGCAAGTTCGGGATATCGGATATGCGTCGCAGCTGCAATGCATGGGCAACCAGGAGATTGTTGTAGGGAGTGTGTGAAGAAGTTGATCACCGTTCTTTTCGAATGTCGCGCCTCCAATCGTGGAAACTACATAGGCCCCCACGGGATCACCACTAAGCGGCAACGGTCCTCCTGTGCATACGTAACATGCAGGGGCAGACTATGCGATATCACCCGCATTGGTCGTTAGGATATCGCATACCGCTGTTGGATGTTGATCGTCAGGCCCTAGTCATTGGGTCAACGTGAGAACGTCCGTTCTGACGATGCTAATCTCAGATAACGGTTAGCAAGCAGTTCCTTCGGAACACTCTGAGGTCAGGTCTGTGCATACAGGCGTAAAGAACGCTGTACATCGCTTCCTTTTCATCATACGTTTCCCGTTGTCGGGTCCAGCTGCGTCTGTTTCGAACGAGTCCACACGCCGCTCGGGCATTTCCACGCCACAATCTCACTACGCGAACTCATTGCAATGACCGAAACGATTCCCATCGAGAATGGGCAACAAGTCGGCATCCTCGTGACTTCCTCCATCTCTATCTTGATAGTAATTGTCGCCGTGGGTCTGCGACTAGCAGCCAAAAGGATCGCCAATCGAATCGATTACAGCGATTATTGCATTCTTGCCGCCTTAGTAGGTCAATACTGGGAAGCGAACCATTCCTATGCTAACAAATCTGCCAGGTATGCAACACTGCACTTCATGCTTGTTGCATTTCGCTAGTTACCTATGGCGGCTTTGGCTTCCATACCCTTGATATCTATCAGCGCTTTGGGCCTGACACAGCAACATTCTTCTTCAAGGTAAGACCTCTGACTTTCCTCTCGCATTTGCCAGCTCTGACATGCCATGTCTTAGGGAATCATGTCCTTTGCGATACTGTGGAATGCAACCGTGTGCTTCAGCAAACTGTCGGTCCTCTCAATGTACACGACACTGATACCAATGGATTCCATGGTGCAATGGGCCCGTATTCTCGGCGCTGTCATTATAACGTGGAACATCGCCGATGTGATCGCAGCTCTCGCGATATGCCGGCCGCTGGCGAAGAACTGGAACTTCAACTTGCCCGGGAGTTGCGGTAGTCAACCAAACTTCTACTTTGCAATGGGTGTCATCAACCTCATCACAGACGCCGTGATGATCCTATTACCAATGCCATACTTGTACAGTCTGCGTCTGACGTGGCGCAGGAAGTTGGCTGCGATGGCTCTTCTCAGCATTGGAGTAGGGTGAGTACACGCTCTCGCCCATAGAGTCGTACTGAACTCTTGCTGACACGTCGCGCAGAACCTGGGCCATCACCATATACCGCCAAACGCTTCTCCCCGGTCTCGACTTCATGGATATGACATACACCGGTGTACTCGCTACGCTCCTCTCCGGCCTCGAGCCCGCCGTCGCAATCGTCCTGGCATGCATTCCCCTCATGCGCCCCTTGTTCGGGAAGTCAAACCACGCCACGCGATCTAGTCTCGACTATGACAGTAGCAAGAAGACTAGTCTCTTCTTGAAAAAAGGGAGCAGGAGACATGCCGATCCGACGGCGACTTTCTCGGAGTTGGTGGACGATAATGATGCTTCTTCGCAGATTGAACTGCAGCCGGTTAAGACTTGTCAGATTGTGCGCGTTTCATCGGTTTATAAACATGATGGGGAGCAGAGGGTGGCTGATTCGAAGCATGCTATCACGGTGGAGAGGAGGTGGGAGGTACGAAGAGATTAACTCGTAGGATGTCGCGTGCGACGACAATGACCCTATCAAGATCGGCTCGAACCGGCAATCCACTAGTCAAAGCTGCACCCCAACTCTTTGCGAACGTCGAGTAAGTAGCCGATGCGGCATGCGGCATTGCGCATATCGGCCCCGTGATGGCGGGCCACGCTTTCGCGCCTTCACACAAACTGGGCGACGGTAACAGGATGCGACCGATATACCCGGCGGTCTTTCCCAACTACGACCCCTCCCAAAGCATGCTCGCTATCTTGAAACGCTTCCATGCGGCACGGCGGCCTTTCTTCGTTGACCGAAGGGCGCCCCACCAATAGGACGAGATGCTATGTGGCACAGTTGCATCACGCGTGCAGCGCATACACCCGACAGACCTTCCTGAGCGGCTAATGTCTGTGATGTCATGCGGGGAGGCTCTCCAGCGCAACAGCACCGTTCTATCTGGCTCTCTTCCAGAGCAGAAGACCTCATCTATCCTCTTTCGCGACTGCCTACACCATGTCGGACAACCTGTACTGTGACCCTTGTCAACGATTCATCCGCGGAGATATCAATGTCACCATCGACGGCTACAACACAGTAGAGTGGAACCATCATGAAAGTTTCGAATCCTTCCAGAAGGCGATACAGCTTCGATGCTTGATATGTATGCTTGCTTGGCATCGAGCTTCACTCAGACCAGCCGCTGAATCTAATTGGGAGGTGGGAATGCAAGGGGAATATTACTACGACAACGAGGATTGGGACGACTATCGCTCATTGACTTTCTGGTTCCGCGAAGATGGCATAAGAAGGCAAACTAGTGAAACTCTAGTTTTCCGAGCATACCCTAGTAAGTAGCATCTCCCTCACCAGTCAACAGATACTGAGACTGCACATAGTTTCGAGTAAGATAAAAATTGCAGAGAGTATTTCGTCGAACACTGGAGCGGATTCTGCCCTTGCATTCGCCGTCGATAAATATCATCGTTGTCGTGGACTACACACGAGTTGTAAAATTCCACAGATTCTCAAGTCGGCTTTTTATCCTTCCAGGCTCCTGGATGTCGGGACCGAGCTACTTGATCCCATCGTAGTTCGCGATACGCAATCGTTCCGTACTGAAGAATACGCTTGTCTGTCACACTGTTGGGGGTCATACAAACCGCTGACACTAAATGCCACGACACGTTCGGCATTACAATCGGGAATTCACGCTGATGAGCTTCCAAAGACGTTTCAGGATGCTGTGCTCGTCACTCGTCGCTTGGGCATCCGGTACCTCTGGATCGACTCACTGTATGACTCTACGATCGCGCGTTACATTATTTCAAAGCTGACAAATCTAGCTGCATACTTCAAGATGACCGTGATGATTGGGCATCAGAATCGAGTCGGATGGGTAGCGTCTACGCAAACGCTGCCTTCACCATTGCAGCCACTGCTGGGGTTGATAGCAGGTGCGGTCTTTTCGTTGAAAGATGCCCCGAATCACTCTTACCCCACCGTGGAAACTTTCAATTTGGGCCGACAATGCGTGGAAGGCAGGGATATCGGAAGGACGTCGAATTCCCATTGAGAGGTACTTACCTTTGCGATATAAGTCACAGAGTTCTAGTTGGTATCGAGAGCGCGCCACTGAACGAGAGAGCTTGGGCAAGCCAAGAGAGACAATTGTCAAGACGAATCCTTCACTTCACTGAGACACAAATCTTCTGGGAATGCTGCAAGGACTACTCGAGCGAGATATATCCAGATGGCTTACCGCTCTGGACGCGAGCGCTTTGGGCATTCGACGCTACCAAACTGAAAGCTGAACTTAGTCGCATTATCGAGCAAAGCGCAAACGATACTCCGAAGCCTTTTGGATCATTGGGAATGAAACGGTCGATGAGTTATGGGACCTATTTTGCCTGGCTGACATACAGAGATCAGTATTCGGGCTTCGCTTTAACGAATCCTAATGACAAGCTAGTAGCGATTCATGGTATTACAGAATGGGTTACTAAATTAACAGGCGAGCGATTCATCGCTGGCCTTTGTGAAGATCATATCGAGGAAGAGCTCTGCTGGGATGAGAAAAGGGAACTCCCGCTGACAGAGCCTGACACAAGGCCTACGAAATGGAGGGCCCCCACATGGAGCTGGGCTTGTACCGACTGTCCAGTCTTACTCAGCCAATTGACAAAGCGACATGGGGGCCATGCGAGCCGCCGAATTGAGGCTGAGTGCGTGAAGAAGCATGTTACCGGGAAGGTATCGGGGGAACTAGAGTCCGCCACGATCGAGCTAAAGTGTAAGCTAGTGCCAGCAACCATCACTGAACTGGCGCTATGGTCGTCACGCGACATGGTACTTCGTCTGTTCGATCAAGACGGAGACGTAGCGAGTCGCAAATTGACACACCGATTCCGACGTGGCGAGGTTCAAACGTTCTGCGAAGTATTCTATCTTGAGAAGGCGAAGATCGACAAGGAATCGCATGAGAGACAATCAAGTACGGATGGCTACGTCGTACTCATTCAGCACTGTGTCCATAGCCAAGACTCAGCAATGCCCCGAAGTCCCGACGTTTCAGAGAATGAGGAAGAAACAGACTCTGAGTCAGAGGAAGAGCCGTATGAGAAGGATAGCGCCGAAGCTTTGTTCTTACAGGCACATGGCGACAATACGTTTGCAAAGGTGGGACTGCTCTGTTTTGATGGGGATCTTGGCGTCAAGCAAATTCTCGAAGCGCATCGTCTCGCAGAAGAGAGAGTAATTACTCTTATTTGAGCCAACCACCAACTGCTATCAGTTATTCACAGCATCCTCCATCGTTACTCTAGTCTCCCCATCGTATGGCCTCAACGCCTCACGCGCTTCCGCAGCCTCATCCAAGAGCAGCTTCTTGATCGCGTCCGAGCGTGGGATGAATCGCATACGGAAAGGCTCTGGTCGCATATTTTCGCTGTCGGTGTATGCGAAGATGTCCAAATCGACCTCATCCCGCTGTCGCAGTGTGTTAGTGGTGCACACACTAACGGTCCTGGTGAACAGTCGGAGCAGACTTACATCCTCGTCCAAACCCGGCAAAATGTCAAAAGCCCAAATCATGCGCGCAAGCGAGTAAAGAAGACCTTGCTCGGCAAGCGGCTGGCCACTACATTGCCTGCGCCCCCAACCGAAAGGATTCATGCCGTACCTGTTCGGATAGGGCTGTTTCGCGCTGCCTTTGCCCTCGAGAAATCGCTCGGGCATGAATCGGTCAGGGTCGGGAAAGTCGCGCGGATGTCTGTGGATGGCCCACATGTTGCCTGTGAAGTTGGTGCCGGCGGGGAAGTGGTAGCCTTTGTAATCGAAATCGACGGTGTTGGCGTGGGGTATTCCTGCTAGGATCGTTACAGTTCTCCATCGGAGGGTTTCTTTGACCTGTGGTGTGTTAGATGTAGAGTCAAATTTGGGATACCTGTAACTTACCACTGCAGTCAAGTATGGCAGTGCATTGGAGTCGATGTCATCCCAGTTTGGAGAGCGATTATGTCCGACGACTGCATCGAACTCAGCGTGTACCTTGTGCTGCACCTCCGGAAAGCGCGCCATTGCCAGGATGCATGAGAGCATAGTGCTGCTAGTCGTGTCCACCCCACCACCAATCAAATTACCCATCAGGCTTGCAACCTCGAGATCCGTCATGTGACTAGCTTGCTGAGATGCCATAACGTGTTTGCCAAAGTTATCTCCCTTCGCTTCGGCGCCTTCCTGCGTAAGCAGGTAGAAGTAGCGCGACAGTATACCAGCACCCAGTCGCATCTGGCTCGGTAACGCGTAGAGCCAAGCAGGCAAGTGCATCAAGAACGGAATTGCTTCCATCAGATAGATGCCAGGGACGATGTAGTTAACAGCCTCCATCAGTTTGAGAGCTTGTTGGGCAACGTAGTCGTTCTTCCGATCGATTCGTCGGCCCCAGTCGACAATCGAGGTGATGGATACGGAGTAGCGCTCGATTGAGAGCTCGAAGTCGTGCGGCTCAAGAAGGAAGTCGCGGATCAAGATCGCGGACTCATGCGCTTGGAATGTGCGGTATTTGCGTACGGCTTGAGAGCCGACGGCCATGTGCTACGCTGTCAGCTCGTTGTACAGCAAGCGCGGCAATACAGGTTAACATACCATGAGCTTCCGGTGTTTCCTCCATCGATCGCCGTATGGCAAAGTAGTCTGATTCGTATTCGTCGCGTTGATTGCATCGCCCATTGCGATGATTCTTGGTCTGCTCGAGAAGATGTCTGATCTCTTCTCCAGCAAGTCGCTCGCGACCCACGCATCGCTCAATATGATGCGCGGTTGCCGCCCAATCCAGAGAGTCATCATGGGTGAGTCGTAGTGCTGAGCCCATTTCTCCCATGTAATCCATGGCTTGTGCGAAGGCGTTTGGAAGTGATTGCCAACGATGGGAAATGGGAAGGGGCCTGGAGGGAGGTATCGGCGGCGCCATAGCATGTGGATGTAGTCAGCGGTCAAAACAACGAAAGCGAAGAAGAGAAGAATTGCAAACGCTTGAAGCATTTTGTAAGGTAAAGCTCTGGGATTGCTTTTGGCTTTGGTTCGAGTCTAAAGATACCGCAAGTACTACTATTTATAATCCAGGCAACCAGGCGGCCCAGTCAATCGAATCTACGATGAGATGCTCTGGGGAGCTCGAGACTATCCCAATCATGCCAAGAACTCTCTGACATCGACGCCGATTTCCCAGTGTGAGCATGGATGCCGTCGTATGCGTGCGCGGCGGCAGCAATGGGACGTGCGGGGAAGCGAGCAATGTGGGGTCGGGCCAAATACCTAGCCTGGAGACGGGGCGTGGGATAGTCGTTGCTGCCCCGACACTTTCAACGCTCCCTTTGTCTCCTTGTTCATAACTTCGTTCGCCGCTCTTCGCGTTCGAACTCTCGTCTTCGCTCAATGCGTGCTATCAAGCGACGGTGAATGGCTTCATCTTCGGAGTCGAAAGGGCTAGCTGAGCGGCGGGTGTAATTAGTGCGATCGTTTCTCTGCTGACATGCAATATGGCGAAGACATGCTTCGTTTTGTAGCCTGTTCTTCTCGTTGATACGCTGCTGTACCACTGCGCGCTGGCCGACGTCTTCGCTTGCGTATCGTTCGATAGCCTCTAGGGCTTCGCAGAACTCGTGGAAGTTGCTGACGATGATGGTGTCGTTTTGCAATCCCCTTCCATCTGACGCCAGTCTCTTGTCGAGAGGTATAGCGTATCTATTCGGGCTGTTCCAACCCGACACCAGCGGTGGTATCTTCCACCGATCCTGCTCTTCAGTACTAAGCACTCGACAAGTAGACCGCAGAACTTGCGCCGGCGGCGAAGGCGCTCTGCACGGGATGCGCTTTCGTTTACCCTTCGGCGGGTCGTAGACATCGACCTCCTTCTCGGGTATCTTCACGAACTTCTCTGTTAAAGGTACGAAATGACGGAACTTCGTTGGCTGGTAGAGCGGATACTCACGTTTCTTCACCATCTTTGTTCGTCCGCGGGAGTCTCTTGCCGTTGTTGGTGTGTATTGAAGGAACTCGATCATGTCCGCGGATCTCATCCGGCTTGCTTCAGAGCGCTGTAGTCCAGGCACTGCTATAGTTTGTTCCTTGGTCTTTCGCACGGTCTCGGTGTTTGGTATCTCAAGATGCAGGTCTTCCGCGCTCACATGCTGTCCCAGTGGTATCAAGACACCAAAAAACGAAGATAGTGTGCGGTCAGTGGTGCGCCCTTGTTGCGCAGTAGAGGCTCGGTCTGGTTTCGCGACTAGTGCATTAGTGTTGTGCTGAGGAGGAGGTGCAGTCGTGAGAACTCGTACATCTTTGGCGTCCGAGGACGGTGGTATAGCCGGAGCATACCTTAACTCGGGTACTGATAACGAGATGTGTTGCGGCAGCATCGTGCGACAGTGAATTATTCGACGTTTGAATGGGGCGGTGGGTGTGGGAGAAAGAAATGCACGAATTGCAAGATCAGTGTGTGTTGAAGCTCAACCGGTGCAGGCAACAGCTTTGGCACGTGACCCCCGAAGAAAGTTCATCATGGCGCAGTTATGGTGTTGGAATTCGGTAGCCACTCTGTGGTTCGTCTCGATCACGTGGTGAGCCACTCACGTAACGTAATTGAATTCATCGAGTTTGTGTTGCAAGCCACTCACGACCGTAGTATCGGAGGGTACAGCTTCACCATATGGGATTTCTTTCTAGACATCGTGGGTACCCGCTTTTCCCGGCAACGTCTGCTTTTGATGTCGGTGTATCTCGAACGAACTCAGGCAGCTCCGTTTCTCCCATTCGGCGAACGTCATGGCGCCGCAGTCCGGGCAGAGCGGTAGTGCGTCCTCGTGTCTCCTCCACGGTTTGCGCATCTCGTTTCGAAAACCAGAGCGCTTGCGTGTAGACTTGTTGTCGCTGGGGAAGAAGGGTTTGGAAAGACGGTTGTAGGATGCAATTAGTGACTTGCGCATCAAACGCGTTAGGCGCGGGGCTTGGAATCGTGACTGGGGAATTAGTTTTGGGGTGTCTGGGAGGTGCGGTCGCGAAGACTCGTACATTTTGGGGGTTGGGCTGTTGCGGAACAGATGAGTGGTACTTTGGGTCGGGCAGTGACGACGAGGAACCTGTGATCGACATAGTAGTATGGAGGCGTCAGTTGTGCGTTGATGAGGCGGTTGAGAGGGAAGGATGCAGATGTGGGAGGAAGGAGCGAGTCGACTAGGAATTCGAGGTGAGCAGGCATCAGCATTACCCCACGAACTAAGAAGGCTTCGAGGAGCGTGGAATCGGGATGCAGAAGTCGGCTGGCCGTCCCGTGGTTCGTCGTAGCTGCTAGGCTCAGTGGACCACTCACAACTCTGACGTTAGAGTACATTGCTCCACTCAAAAGTTCTTCTCAGGGTTCATGTTCGCCCGGATACTCATCGAAGCCCAAGCACGAAACCTGAAGGCGCAAATACCTGAGATGTGCTGGATATATCGCAAACCCCGAAAGGCAGCATGCATCAAACCGCAACTCGTTGTCAGAGCAGCAAGCGACGGAGACGCAGGCAACCCTTAAAGGCGCGAAGTCGTCGGTAATGATGAACTCACTCAACGCTCGTACCAGCCATGACGACGGTGAACCCCGAGATAGTCGATACGCTCCCAGCCATCGTGAAGCTAGTAGACCAGCTGATCTCCACCCACGAAGCCCGAAATGACACGCTTGACAGGCCCATCATCCACCTCTCTCTCGAAGGCGCAAACCTATGCCGCTCGGGCACGATCTCTATCCTCACCCTCTTGCTCTGCGAAGACCCTCAGTCGCAACAAACCTACCTCGTCGACGTCCATAAGCTCGGCGCATACGCCTTCAGTACTGTGGGTACGATGAGGACGACACTGAAAGACATACTGCAGAATGGAAAGATCCCCAAGGTTTTCTTCGACGTCCGCAACGATTCCGACGCGCTGTTCGCGCGTTTCGGCATCGCCCTACAAGGGGTGCAGGACGTACAGCTTATGGACAGTGCGGCGAGAGAGAAAAGGGCAGAGCGTGAGTATCTCAGTGGACTGCCCCGTTGCGTGGAGCACAACAGTATAATCTCATTTCACCGCCGCAACACTTGGTGCAGAGATAGGACCGCGGGCGAGCTGGTATTCAGGGTCGAATTTGGCGGGTCGCGCGAAGCGTTCAGCATGCGGCCTCTTGCCGATGATATCGTCTCATACTGTGTGGGCGATGTCATGTGGCTTCCGGAATTGCGTAACAAGCTCTGGGAGACGCGTACGCAGGAATGGCGGGACTTTGTGCGCGACGAGACGGAGAGACGAGTCGCGTATACTCATGGGGCCGATTATCAGCCTGGTGGGACGGATTGGGTGCTGGCGCCGTGGAAGGACGAGCAGAACAGGGTGCTGGACAGGTTGAACGGCGCCCGTGATTTTGATGGCTTGCTAGATGACGATGAGGTTGACGAGGACGTAGAGTGAGAACCAAGGCCCCCCTTCATGGGCGTTCCGATGTGGCGAGCACACAAGCAATGTCAACAGAAACTATGATAGTGTGAGCCCGTAGAATGTGAAGCATATATCCACAAGCGCGACGGAAGTGCGGTATACAATACTGTACATATCATATCTACATACCCCCCTCCCCCTCCAATCACGCCGTCCTCTCACTATGCACCTCTTCATCATCCTCCTTCTTCGTAGTCTCATACCTCTTACCACGGAAAGAGTACACGCCCCAGTTACTGCACGTAACATCATGCGGGTCAAGATCATTGAGATCCCATCTTAGACTCCTGAACAGGTTCTCGCCCGGCTCGAGCAACATGTCCATCTCATTGCCGAACCTGTTCTTGAGGAAGTCGACATCCTGCTGCATATCCCATGGGCTGTATCCGGTCGCGATGATCGGTACCTTCGTCTCGAGGAGGAGGGGAAGCGTCTCCTCCCATTCATGCGCAGACGCCGGATTGCCGAAACCGGGGTGGAAAACGACGAAGCAATCGAAGTAGGGGTCGTAGGGGTAGAAGTACCCCGTCTTGTGGATGTTGTGGTAGTACTCGACGAACGTACTAATCTTCAGCGAGTTGCTAATGCGGTCCTCAACAACGGCGCCGAACGGGTTTAGAGGCGTGCGCTCGGGAAGGGGCAGTTCCTTCTCGCGGTTCGCCATGCTCTCGGGTCCGATGAAGTTGAGCGAGAATTGTACGCGGTGGAAGAGGTAGGAGAGTTGCATCCAGGTTTCGCGGGGTAGCGAGGATTCTGCGCGGGCGCCGAGGATGAAGAGGCGGACGGAGGGGGGTGCGAGGCGCGCGTTCTTCCAGGTGTCGCCGCCGCCGGTTCGGGGTGGGTGGAGGGTGTGGCGCAGGGCTGGGGTTGTGTCAGTATTATCTCAGCAAGTCAATTGATGGGAACGTACCGCTGAAGCTCTTCAGTCCCTCCGGCGTCATGCGCCCGTTCTTCCGGATGTTGTAGGGACTCAGCTCGTTTAACACACTTGCAATGGTGATTGGGTATGTCAAGAGCTTTGTCGCCTGGCGCATCTCTCGGTCCTCGTTCAGCGCGTCGAAGTCTCGCGTGTACATGTACGTGTCCCAGCTCGTCATGTTGACCAGAATCTCCTCCATCTGGGGCTCCGCGAACTGGAACTCCTTGAAGAAGCGCCCACTCCTCAGATCGTGATCGTCCTCGTTGATCTGCTTCAGGACGTCACACACTTCCAGATGCGCCTCGTAATCATCCGCCCAATGTTCCTCGCAGCAGTACACCGGTATGCCACAGTCCGGGCACTCGAAGTCGACATGGGCTGGCGGGGCGCCGGTCTCAGAGGACTTGCGCGCCTCAAGGTCCATCGGGTTGTTCGCCGGACGCGTCGGCTGATGCGAGGGATGTGGGCAGTAAGCATGCTGGCGCATGAAGGCCGCACGCTTCCGTATTTCAGGTATTGGCGAGCCGGAGAAGGAATTGAAGAGGTTGTCCTCGGTCAGCACCAGCTTCCGCCGATGGCCCTCGGGATCGATGTATTCATACGGCTCGAACGGCTTCTCGAAATCCCGGGCCGGCGTCGTCGAGAGGCTGCGCTTGGGCAGGGCAAGCTTTGGCGGTGCTGCACTTTTGGTGGAATGACTGCGTTGCGACGACACCTTGGGCGCGAGCGGGCGGAGACCTTGCGACGGCCGTAATTGAGACCGCGGCGTCTTGAGGGCCGAGAGACACTGTCGGCAGGTGTAAGGCGTCCTCATCTTGGGCTGTCGACTCGCAATTGGTGTTGGCGGGCTGCTGCCATATCGTGACATGAGGGTCCGCGAATGTTAGCGCGGTCCCGGCCAATCCAAACGCCGATTGGCTGGCGCCCTGACGAAGACATCATCACCCGCCGCCGCCCATTCCCAGTCAACACCCAAGTCGCTCTACCACCACAACACGGCGCTTTCATGTCGCTTGTCGCGCGGGTTCGAATGCATCGAAAAGTTGCCGCGATTTAGGTCATACTCACTGTGGCCGTCAGCGACACGTCATCCAATCAGCTTCGGGTCCATTCGTAACGACATCCACCATAGCTCACGTCCTTTTACCGCAAAAACGCTCGGCGAAGAGGACAAGAAACCAGACATATTGACCTTTCCTGCTTGTATCAACCTCTAGCATATAGATATCGAAGGTGCAGAATGTGCTGACAACGTATTGATACCCCCACCAGCCTCGTCCATCATGTCTCTCGGTTGTGTCTGTGGCGGACTTAGATCCCGAAGTAGTCAACCTATCAGCGATGCGCGATCCTTGAGTGCTCGGCCTACTTTGCGCGAGAATTGCTAGTTCTGGATGTCCCAAATATGCCACCGGAAGAACAACTCCAAGAAAGTCGTTCACGGAGGATCTTTATAGCGATCGCCATCCGTACATACTGTACTTCCCCGCAACTAACCCCGGAAAAGATCCAAGCCCGCTGCACAACGTCACATGGATCGCCAACATACAATAAGACCACAGCGGCGCCGTGTTGCGATCATGATAAAGGCCGCTTCGAATCAATTCGTCAATACCGATAATGCGGTTATCCCAGATTGGTTCGCTTCTAGCGACCTGTGGGTTGGTTGACTTGTCAAATGCGAAATCACTGTGGTCGACAGTCCCTGCGAATGGTAGCGACATCATCCGCACCACATATCCTCTCGGCAATGGACGTCTTGGTGCCATGCCGATGGGCCCTCCCGGTGCTGAGATACTCACCCTGAACTTGGATACATTGTGGTCCGGAGGTCCCTTCAATGCATCTGTAAGCTCCGCTGACTCTGTGCTGGCAATTGACCTTCAACCGACACTAACACATCAAAAAGAACTACACGGGTGGTAACCCGACCTCTTCCAAAGCAGCAGCATTACCGGGCATCCGCGACTGGATCTTCACCAATGGAACGGGAAACGTGACGGAACTGCTGGGCTTAGACGCTTCGTATGGCTCGTACCAAGTGCTAGGAAACTTGAGTGTGACCATCCCGTCATTAGCAGGTGCCGATGTTACCGACTATATGCGGACATTAAACCTGAGCAATGGCGTCCACACTACGGCATTCAGCGTAAACGGCAGCCTTATCGAGACGGAAGCGTTTTGCTCGTTTCCAGATCAAGTCTGCGTCTATTCGGTTCGCTCGTCAGGTGGGCTGCCAGCGCTGGATGTGAGACTGGACAATGCACTCATTGAGCCGGAGTTGCGCAATATTACATGCGCCGGCGGTAATGCGACGAGTCCAGGACATCTCAGAATGAGCGCCCTGACGCAGCTTGGCCCACCTGAAGGTATGCGATACGACGTGATGGCACGAGTTGCATACGACACCGGCATCGAAGTTGTATGTGATGGTGAAGCCAAGTCTTTGATGGTCTCCCCGCGCAACGGTACGAACAGCGTCACGATAGTAGTCGGCGCTGAAACGAACTACGACGCAAGGAAGGGAACAGCGGAGTACGATTACTCCTTCCGTGGCGAAGATCCAGGCCCGGTCGTTGAGTCCACGACTCTCGCCGCCGCCGCCAGACCTTTGTCGGATCTACAAGGGCGTCACATGGAGGACCTCACTTCTCTCACTGACCGCTTCACGCTATCTCTTCCCGATCCTTCCAACGCATCTCAAGTACCCACATCCGAGCTCGTCGCACGTTACAACGCCAACATCACAGCCGGCGACCCATACCTCGAAAGCCTTCTCTTCGACTATTCACGATATCTCTTCATCGCCGGCTCGCGACCGGGTTCTCTTCCCCCGAACCTTCAAGGACGATGGGCCGAAAGCCTCGAACCCGCTTGGTCGGCAGACTATCATTCCAACATCAACATCCAAATGAACCACTGGACCGCCGACCAGACGGGTTTGACTGATCTCCAATCACCACTATGGGATTACATGTCGAACAACTGGGTCCCACGCGGCAGCGAGACCGCCGAGCTGCTATATGGCGCACCTGGTTGGGTGGTTCACAACGAGATGAACATCTTCGGCCACACGGGCATGAAGAGCGGAGCGGAGTGGGCGAATTATCCGCTTTCTGCAGCTTGGATGATGCAGCATGTCTTCGACCATTGGGACTACTCGCGCGACGAAGCCTGGTTGCGTGATCAGGGCTACCCGCTAATGAAAGGTGTTGCCGAATTCTGGCTCAGCCAGCTGCAAGAAGATCGGTTCAACAATGACGGCTCGCTGGTCGTGAACCCATGCAACAGCCCTGAGCATGGCCCTACAACATTCGGATGCGCGCACTATCAGCAGCTCATCCACCAAGTCTTTGATGTCGTCCTTTCCACTGCCTCCATCGTCAGTGAGACCGACAGCGCGTTCATCACCAACATCACCAATTCGCTCCAACAGCTCGACAAAGGCTTTGCAATCGGTTCCTGGGGCCAGATCAAAGAGTGGAAGCTACCCGAGGAACCCTACGGCTTGGAGTTCATCAACGATACCCACCGCCATCTTTCCGAACTCGTAGGCTGGTACCCCGGCTACTCAATCTCCTCATTCCTCGACGGCTACACCGACACCGCAGTCCAAGACGCCGTTCGCCAGAAACTGTACAGCCGCGGCAACGGCAACGGTGAGGCCCTCAACCAGGCGAATGCTGGCTGGGCGAAGGTTTGGCGCGCCGCTTGCTGGGCTCGCCTCAATGAGACAGATGAAGCGTACTACGAGCTTAGATATGCTATCGAGCAGAATTTCGCTGGGAATGGATTGAGTATGTATGATGGGGATAGGGTGCCGTTTCAGATCGATGCGAACTTTGGGTTCGGAGGCGCGGTGTTGAGTATGCTTGTTGCGGATATGCCGTTGGCTGCGGGGGATATGAGGGAGAGGACTGTGGTGCTGGGCCCGGCGATTCCGATGAGTTGGAGTGGGGGAAGCGTTAAGGGGTTGCGATTGAGGGGCGGTGGGGTTGTGGACTTTGGGTGGGATGAGGATGGTGTAGTGGGGGAGGTGGAGATCGATGGGAAGCTGGACGGGGTGATAATTGTAAATAAGGATGGGAAAGTACTCGCAGAGTAGAACGAAAGGCGCACTATAGTCGCTTCTACCTCGTATGAAGATCTTGCTATGGTGGTTCTGATGTGTTCTGCATCTTCTTACCATGGTCGTGAGGAAAGCGCAGTGATTCTCGATATCGATGCAAGATAGCGAAAGCCTCGTCAACTAGCGGATAGTGTAGAACCCCGGTTTCTTACGTGCGCTGAAGTGCTGTCAGATATCGCCAGAGAGCGCACCACAGGTCCAATGCGTTATGCCCAGTGCTTACCACAGTGCGACACACCCAGGCTATCCTCTACATCAGCAACGTGTTTACCATTAGCAGCAGCGGTAATGGCACTCCTATGCGCACAACAGTGCGGTATAGTTGCTGTGCCGTCCATGAGTGAAGGAAGATATGTCGCAATCGGTAGAGCAGTCGGGATGTGGGGGTGGGACGTGCACTGACTTCGCGACGCTCTCGCAAAGGCGGATGCGCCCGTCCAATCAGCCACCAGCGCCCAATCTCGACCCCAAAATTCGAAAAGGCGCCCGTCGCACCACACGCCTTCGCGCATCCGAGCCAGCCACCGATGCATGGTCTCATCCTCATTCCTCGGCATCGGACACTGCACCAGGGCATGGTGTGAGCACAATCCGCCAAACGCCGCACATTCGTGACTAACCCGGTAACCCGATAAGAGCTACATATCGAATAGGCGCGCAACAGTTCAAAAGACATACGGGCGAAGCGAGAGGCATAGATGGGTCTGCACCCTGGGGTCGTACTCGTCGCAAATGCTTCGTCGAGCACAATCAGGGCACATGGAAGCGGTTGCGAAGCTGAACTCGACGCATGTGTTACCAGATCCCGCATCACAATCTGCAATGCGCTGCGCACGGCTTCGTCGTGCTATGGCGACCGGGGTGAATGAGAACTAATGTGAAGCGTCTATCGCTCGCTCCTGTTGTTGCGTGCTTTCAAGATGCTTCGGACGCCATGTCCTTATGCGAGGTCTCTCGATTGAAAAGCGCATCTAAACTTCGTGCCAGTGAGCTTTTCAATCGCACAGCAGTACATCGGTTGATAGATCTCAAGGCCCAGCCTTTCGGGTCTAGTCTGGCCTCAGCTGCCTGTTTACACGCTCCCGTGCTGACATGCAGTGGCGTTGCTTACGCATCGCTTGCGCGGTGTCACCGATGAATGAAGGACCATATGAGGCTTTCAAAGACTTTCCTCTTTAGATGTACTGCCGGCGTACCCTATAGCAGCGATGCGCATTACATAAGTAGGCGTACCACGCATGCCCGCTCTCGCAGCGACACTTTCGTCTCTTTCTACGCCAGGATGAAGACGTACACGAGATTTCTCGTCGCCTTGACGTGGACGACTGCCTTCTGCGCCTCTGTTCACGGATGGCCGACTCGTGACGAGATCATTCAGTCCATCCAGGAACGCGCCACCGCTGGTATTCGCAACGCACCTGCAGACGACGTCGCAATGCAACTGACCTTTCGCGTTCAGACTCCATCAACCTCGAGGCAATACCTGGCTTCAACCTCAGCTCCGCTCTTGACAGCATTGCGTCAACATACCTCGATAGTCAGGCGCAAGAGCTGCCACAGCGCAATAGCTCGAACGCCACCACCATCATCGATGTGCACGGTAAGCCCTCGCCCCACCATGTGATGACAGGTCTAATGATGCTTCATAGCGCACTGCGTTCCTGACTGGTATCGCGCAATCGCTCCGACAGCCGGCGGGAATCCAACCCCATACTGGAATGTCAGCGGGCATCTCAACTTCATGGTGAGCCAAGGCATCTCGCATGCAGTCGTGGCATTCTCCTCGCCCGGCGCGAACGTGTATCCTGGAAATCGAGAGGCGACGATCGCGCTTGCGCGGTTGATTAACGAGCAGTCCGCGGCGTACGCGCGAGTCTACCCGAAGCACTTTTCATTCTACGCGGTCGTACCACTCCCATATACCCAGGATGCCATCGCTGAAGCCATGTACGCTCTCGGCACGCTGGAAGCCGCAGGTATCGCGCTCTACTCCAACTTCGAAGGTCGCTACCTTGGTGACCCAGCCTTTACGCCGTTCTTCGAAGCTATGAATGCGCGCGGGGCCGACCAGATCCTCTATATCCACCCCACGACGCCGTACCTGCGCGTGAACGGCTCACTCATCGAAGCAAACCCAACGACATACCCAACCGGCAACATCGAGTTCTACTTCGAAACCGCGCGGGTACTCCAAGACCTCGCCGTCACGCAAACCATCCTCAACTTCACAAACATCAACTACATCATCCCGCACGTCGGCGGCGCATTCCCGTCTGTCGCAGACCGCCTGTTGAAGTCGTTCCCCGCGATCTACGACCGTACCCTCGCTGCTTTGCAGACGCGCTTCTTCTGGGATTCCGCGGGCCCGACGTACTTCCACCAAGTCGGCGGCCTTCTTGCGTACGACATACCGGCGTCGCAGCTTCTGTTCGGGACGGATTACCCGTACGCGCCGATCTTCACGTATGCGCCTTCGCTAGTAGGCATCGAGACGTCGCGGTTTGTGGAAGATGTCGAGCGAACAGGTATCTTCTTTCGTAACGCGCAAGAGCTCTTCCGCGAGCGTATCTTAGTATAGATAGGTTACAGCCTACCCTAGAGAACGTCTTAGGTCCGCTAGACCTAAGCGATTTTTAGTAAGAGTAATAAGGCTAATAAGAAATAAGAGAGTAGGCCTAAGACAGTATTAAGATAAATGTATAAACTATAGAGTATCTTTAAAAAGATATCTAAGTCTAGTATAGCTTTCTACTAGTATTAAAAAGATTTTAGAATAAAAGTATATAATATATTCTTAGACTAAAGAAGCTTAAACTAAGTTTTATAGCGTAGTATCTAAATATTACCTAGTAAGATAAACTTTTTTAATAAAATTAGATAATAATAGTTACTCTAAGTATAACTTAAGAAATAATAATATAATAACTATAGCTTATTAGTTATAATAATAAAGTAACTAGATATTATAAAGTTTTTTAATACTATAAATTCTTATATAAAGAAGATTTTTAGTAAAGCTTTTTTAGCTACTCTTTTTTACTATTTAGCTACTTCTAAAAAACTAAATAGTAATTTTCTTTCTAATTAGGTAATTTAATATTAGATTAAAATTACTTTAGATTTTCTAAAGATTTTCTAAAATCTTTTATAAAGTTTTTTAAATATAAAAACTTAAAATAGTTATAGTAATATAGATATTTTATTTATATAATTTTTATTAATTAGTTTTTACTAAAAATATTATATTTTAGTAATATTTACTATTTAGATCTACTTAAAAGCTCTACTACTTTATATTTATATAATACTACTATATTATAGTATAAGTATATAAAATTTTAGAAGCTTATTTAAGTAGTACTTATTAACTTTTAGAATTATTTTAAAAAGTTCTACTATAAAAGTAGTAAAGGTATAGAAAGTAAAAAAGTAAAAAATATAAAGAAATTTAATTCTTTTAATATTTTCTATTTATATAAGTATATAGAAAAGTAAACTATAAATATATTCTTAGTGCTTTAAGTCTAATTTAGTTATCTTTATAGTAAAATAATATTAAAAGATATTAAAAGATATTAAAAAACTTTAAGCTAGTCTTTTTTAGAACTACTAAATAATTTTAATATTAATTTAGTATATATTACTATAGTAATATAGTTATTTTAGTCTATAGTATAGACTTATTCTATACTTATCTATATAAGTTTCTTTATACTATAATCTAGAATAACTAGAAATAATATAATATATAGTAATAGAAATACTACTAATAGAACTTACTATATCTATTCTCTATTAACTATAACTTTATCTATATTCTTAGCTAGTAATATTAATATAATAGCTACTAATAGGTCTTATTAAAAGTAACTATAATACGTAACTATAGTATCTATCTAAGTAATAGTACTAGATAAAAGAAAATAAGCTATAAACACTTTATCTCTAGTATTCTATTTCTTATTATCTATATCTAGAATTCTAGTAATAGTTTTATACTACTAGTATATAGTCTACTTTAGATATAAAGATAGTAAAGACTTTATTTTAAGCCTTACTATATATATAAAGTTATAAATATAAATAGTAATAGTAATTAATAACTCTTTTCTAGTTAGCTTACTAATTAAGTAATTTTCTATCTAGTTTATAGTAATAGAATAGCTTTTATAAAATACTTTATAAATCTTCTTAGTAAGTATTTTAAAGATAAGTATAGATAAATAAATAAAAAAAAGCTTTATCTTAGCTAAACATATCTTTAGAATAATAAAAGTATTAATAGTATTAATAGTACTAAGATATATATACTTAGAGTAGAAGATCTAGATTATATCTTTTATTATATAGATAGTATTTTATTCTATAGCTACTAGAATAGCTTTAAAAATAGTTTTTTTAATAGTTTCTCTTCTAGTAAATATAAAGTAGCTTATAGAATCTTTAGAATAGTAATATAGTTATATAAAAAGTAATTAATATAGTAATAATAAAGTAACTTAGTAGAGCTAACTATATTAGAATATATAATATCTAGTAGAAACTAAGTATAGAATAGCTTTCTATTAGAGTTAACTCTATTATATATAAAGTAATATTACGTATAAGATAATATTATATATAATACTAGAATACTCTATAATCTTATTATAGCTTCTAGAGCTATAGCTTTTTATATTATATAGTATAAGATATATAAATTTTACCTTAAATCTAATATATTTTTCTTTTTTAGTCTACTTATTAAACTACGCTTTATCTATATTATAATATAAACTAGTAACACTAATATTAGCGTAAATTCTATCTTTCTATAGATATCTAGATATTAGAAATAATACTCTATATTTATAGCTCTCTTTACTTTATACTAAGAATAATATATTTTTTAAATTTATAAAGATTAAGTAGTAGTATAAAAGTATATTATTCTTAGTAGTACTATTATTCTACTACTAGCTTTATATTATTATTATATATATAAGCTACCTTCTCTTTCTTATATCTACTAAGTATTAATCTAGAATTAAGTATATTCTATAACTCTCTACTAGCTTTTTTAAATAGAATATATAGTATAGATTACTATAGTATAGACTTAGAGATTAGGTTTAGAAAAAAATCTAACTTTTTTATATTTTTTCTATATTAATAAACTAGATTTATAGCTTATATACTATATAAAAGTTATTAGAAAGATAAAGTAAATATTTACTTAGAAAAGTTAAATTAAAAAAAGTCTATACTTTTTACTAAAACTTTTTATTAACCTAACTTTATTACATAAAGAATTAGAGTTAGATTCTTTGCTTTCGCTAACAAATTGCTAGCGCCTACACTAGCTACCTACTGCGTTTCTTTATTCTTTGTAGCTATAATTATTTACACTTAACTATTAAAATATATCTCTAGATTTTAATAGTAGTATTGCAATTGCATACGCTCTCTTTCTTAATACTTACTACGCTCTATACACTATTGTGTGTTATTATTAGAGTTACGCTAATATAGAAAGTTAAAGTTTACGTATAACTCTAAGTAGGCTATATAGGCGTCTTATAGTGTATTAAGAATACTAAGTCTATATATGTTATCTTTCTACCTACTCTTTAGTGTTAGTACTTCTACATCTACTTTGTAATAAGTAGGCTTACTATATAATACCTAGCGCTTCTATTTGCTAATTACTAGTTTTAGTGTTATTGTTACTACAGCGCACGCTTGCGTTACGCCTACTATCTACTATAGTAAGCCTATACTAGGTATTACAGGTTGCCTCTACCTACTTAAGGTATACCTTATCTTAGTGTAATAAATTAATACTTGCAATACTTTATAGTTTACCTATATATAGCGTATCTATTATCTTTCTTATTAACGCTGCTATATTAAACGCGTAGGTTTTGTTTTTTAGGTTTATATAACGCTGCGCAGGTTACTCTATTTATATTATTATAATACCTATATAGGTTACTCTATTTATATTATTATAACGCTTGCGCTAGTTACCTTATTTACGCTCTTGCTACGCTTGCGCTATTACCTTACTTAAGCTTTAGAGCTATTTTTACTAGTTACCTAACTTATACCTTTATAACGCCTATAAAGTCTATATTCTTTTAGTTTCTACTTTACTAGCGCTAGTTATTTAACCTTTATTACTACGTTATTGCGCACGTTACTATATCTTCTTTACTTTATTTTAACTGCGCGTTTTTCTACCTATATTATTATAGTGCATATATAAATACCTTATTTACGTTACTTAACGCTAGCTTACTTAGCGCGTAAGATTAGAGAACGCTAATAGTTTTGCTAAGATAATTATATTGCGTTTTACTCTATAGAAGACTAAGAGTAAGTACACTATATTTCTAGAGAATAACTTAATCTACTATAATAGAGTATTAGAAGAATAATATATATAGTTCTTTTTTATAAGTTATTTTAACTATGTAGGTTATTATATCTATTTTATTTAACTACATACGTAGAGTGCTTTTACACTATCTTATCTAATTTCTAATTTCTAATTACGCTCTTCTCTATAGTTAGCTTACACTTCTACTATACTTATTCTTTAACTCTACTTAGCTCTTATTAAATGTTAAATTCTATTTAGTTACTAATTTTCTTTACTAGAGCTTACTAAAATAAACAAATCTAGTAATAATAGTTCTTACTAGAGTTTAGTAGTCTAATTATTGTATTCTAAAGCGCCTGCACTTGTATTCTTCTTGTCTTTTTCTTCTAAACTATTATTCTTATTCTTACTCTTATCTATCTTATAGATCTTACTATAAGCTGCACTTATTACTGTTTTAATACTTAGTATAGCCTTTTTAGTAATTAGTGCCTCTTTAATACCCTCTAGGCCTAGCTACTCTTCTAACGCTTAACTAGCTTTATATATATTAGGCTTTTTCTTTCTTACTAGCTAAAGAAATAGGTCTAACTTACCTACGCGTAACACGCGTTTAAACTATCTATTTAATATTTTCTTATATAGAATAAGAAGTAAACTACTCTAACCTAAGTTCTATATAATTATATGCTACTACGTTGCTAGTTTAAGTCTTGCGTAGAATGCCTTATAGTCTACTCTAGATAGTAAATAGTAGACTAGCTAAATAAGTTCTATAATAGCTTTACTCTACACTTAGCCTTTACTATAATAGTTACGTGTAACGTCTCTACTAGCGCGCTTATCTTCTAGTTAGATCTACTCTATTTTACGCACGTACGCCTACCTAAGTAATACTATTACCTATTATACGCTAATATAGACAGCTACTATTACTATCTTATACTTTATGTATATGTTCTACGCAAAGCAGAAGTCTTAGTTTACCTTATCTTCTAGTAAACCTCTAGATAATATAGCTATAACTATCTAGAATTGCTTAAGACTCTAATAATTACTAGATTATCTAATAAATAGAGTACCTTATTAGCGCTAGTTTTAAAGAAACTGTTAGGTATTATACTACAAACTAGTGTTGCTAAACTAGCGCGCCTTTACTAAAAATAAAGTTACTTTAGTGTATAGCGTATTTATAAACGTATAAAATACTCTAT